TTAAAAAAAAAAAAAAAAAAAAAGTACCTAGGATCTAATAACAAGCACTCATATGGTGTCATACATTTTAAAAACAAAAAAAAACCAACAATTGGTGGAGGAAAACAAGAAGAGTCAACTAAATACATAAGATATTCATTGATACATGTCGTTTCAAAGACTAATCACTCAAAATACAGAAGCCTTGTATGCCGCCTTGAACCCACAGAATGTGATTATATATATATTAAAAGTGTAGCAGTAAAGTTGGAATGAGATTCAATTTCAATTACAAGACTGGTGGCGCTATCATTGACACATTTTATAAGTTTCAGAAGCAAGAGAATCAAGATCTGTGAAACAGCTGGTAAAGGAATTTAAATATGTTAATTCAAGCAAGGGCGGAGGGGGGGTGGGCAAAGGTGGGCTTCAGCCCACCCAAAAAAAAAAAAAAAAAAAAAAATTTACTATACTACTTTCAGCCCAGCTCAAAAATAAATAAATTTAGCCCACCCAAAATTAGCCCAATCCTAAATTAGCCCACCCCAATCAACAATCCTGGATCCGCCTTGCATTCAAGGAAGGAGAAAAGATATCTAGTGTAAAGGCACAATCCAAGAGTGGTGCACGCGCATGGGTTCTAAGCTAGGAGATCGAAAAGCCATATATGTGTATATATACATACTATGCAAAGGTCTCAAAATGGGTTTCATCTAAACCATGGTATTAAAGATCAATTTCAAAAATATAATAAATAAATAAGGGGCAAGCAAACGACCGCGACATCAAACAATTATATATATGGGTGAACCTGTGTTGAAACTACTAGTGGGTGTCAATGCAACTCCGACAATAATGTTTTTTGCTTGGCCGACTACTTCTCCAACACCGAAGCATAAATTATGTCAAAGATTAAATATGATGTCAAAACGAGTTTGTCATCAAACCATGACAGACGTTGAAAGTGAAAGACATGCATGCATTAAAAGGCACAAAGGGAGAGCAAAATGAGTCTTAATGTTGTAGAGAGAGAGAGTTCAACAATAAAGCATCTTCTCTCTTAAAAATGATATGCAAAACGGGCCTTGCATGCCAATGGATATCACTTGGATGGTATGTATAAAAGTAGCAACAACAACCAAAAATATATATATATATATCATTCATGAAATTATTCCAAACCATGAATCACAAATGACCCAAAAAAAAAAAAAAAAAAAAAAAAAGTTTCCAATGCAGAGATATCAAAATGAGTTTAACAATTACTACATATATGATACTTTTGTAAGGGAGTCGTACACTATCTAATGTTGCCGTTTGGAAGCACGAACACTTCTACTAAGGAGTTGTCATATTCATGTAGCATACTCCTCAAATACGTGTCGGACACTTTATATACGTGTTCATAAATAAAAATTAATTTTATTATTTTAGACACTTTGCCGACACTTTTCGAACCAGTAATCTTGAAAATAATATGAATATTATCATGATAAAGTAATGAAATAAAGGTCTGTGCCCGTGTATGTATCTTTGTCCGTATCCGTACTACATATAATTATGTCGGTGAACCTTTGTTGAAACTAAACACACACACACACACACACACACACACACATATATATATCATTAAATACGTACATATCTATTTATTTATTCATCTATGTTGTGTCAAAGAAATGTAATAATTAATTTGAAGAATTTTGGAATTTGAAATTTGAAAGAATTAAATGATAAGAATTTTCTGAAGTAAAGTAACAAATAATTATAAATTTGCTTCAATAATAATAGAGCTGTTAGAATAATAATTATTTTTTCTTATTATTAGAATCATAGCTTAATTAGATTATATAAATTCATTTTTGGTATTTTGCCTCTTACCTTTTATACAAAAATCTCCCCTCTTTTTACCTATATTTGGGTCTACGTTAGTTTTATATGTCAAAAATAAATTAGAGAGAGAGGGAGACTAAGGATGGCAACGGGGCAGGTTTGGCTAAACCTTACTCTGTCCCGTTTGAAAATCCATTGTACCAACTCCGCTCCTATTTCGGGATGGGTTTATAATTAGTATACTAACCTCGCCTCTACTCCGGCAGACAAAATATCGACTCGATCTGCTCCGCATACTCCATTTAATTACGGGGTGGGATGTGTTATGCCACTTTTATTATTAAGTAAAAAAATAAAAAAAAAATAAAAAAAAATAAAAAAAAAATTAGTCCAATGTGCTCAAATTGAGTTGATAAATAAGATGACCCAGTTTCTAAATTATTGAGTAGTGAATATTAATATATTAATAGAGACTTCCAACAAAGTAACAATGTTCTTAGAAATATTAAATATATATTTTTTATACCATATTAAAATTTTAAAGATACATATACATTCGGGGCAGGAGCAAAACGGGTTTATCAATAAATCCGTCCCCACACCAAATTCGTTTGGGGTTTTCAATTATTTTATCATACTCCTCCCAAACTCATTTAGAGAGTTACCAAATTCACCCTAATAGAATGGAGTGGGACGAAAACCCGCCGAATAGAAAGAAATTGACATCCCTAAAAGAGAGATAAATTAAAACACTAACCTGAGAATACTTTTTAGTCCAAAATATTAAGAGTGATTCAGACCAAAGAATCCAAGATACCCATGATCGTATATTGCATTCCTAGGAACCAAGAGAAAAAAATGAATGGAGGGCAAATTTACAATCTTAAATCCAACCAAAAATTCATGCCTCCAAAAGAAAATGGAGTACAATAGAAGCTTTGATAGTTGATTCTTTTTAATAGTACATAAGACGTGAATATAAAATCAATTAAGCATTGACTTTATATTTATGCTCCATTCGTTAGGAATGAAGTAAATTGGATGGAAGTGAGAGAAGAATGGAAGGATAAGACATCCTTAGGGAAGAGATTATGAACTTTCCTTGTTTTGTTCGGTTGAATGGAAGAGAAAAGAAGAACCTACCAAATTCTACCAAATTCCTTTGTTCGTTGTGAAAGAAGGGAAGGGAGAATTTAAAATTATTTTTATCATTATACCCTTCATTATTTTATTTTTTTCGGTAGATAGCCATCATCTTTACTACTCATTTAAACAGTACCATTAATTTCACTCTAATTTATTGTTTGCATTAATTATATATATATATATATATATATATATATAATCATATTTCATCATGAATAAAAATAATATAAAAAAATGTATCCCACCATCTACATACTTCGTTGAAAAATATTATCCTAGTAGAGTCATGTCAAACTAAAATTCTTAATTTTAGCCATTTGCATTGAACACTCAAAATTATTTGCACCACTAGTTGTAGTCTTACACTATATGACAATACTAGTGAAGTGAGTACTGTTTTTAGAACTAGGTGTGAACATGGAGTTTTTTTTTTTGGTTCTAAATATGTTCTAAAAAAATGTTTTATGACATTGTATGGTTTTTTATGTAAACTGTGTATTTTTTCTTCTGAATCTTTTTTTTTTCACTAATAAGGAAATTATCTTTTTTTTTACTAATAAGGAAATTATATAACAAACAATCCATATAGTAATTTAATATTTGGAAAGGATAATATTGTAATTTAATAGTTTTATAATAGCTCCACTTGTTTTCTCTCCTGTCTTCCGCCCAAATTTAGGCTGATGAAAATTTGTAAAAAGGGAAGGATAAGACATCCCTCGTATTATCCTTTCCCTCCGTATCTCCTTCCTACCGAACGAAGGAATTTTGTTCCTTCCTTCCTGTTATCTTTCCACCCCTCTTTCTTCCTTCCTACCGAAGGATGTGTGTCGGTCTCTACCATGTATTAAATTTGTGATCATGCTCACGAATTTATTTAATGTGTATCATATTAGAAATCCATGCTTTTGAAAGACTCAACATTTGACTTTATTCACAAAAAACAGAAAAGAATACAAGGACATTAAAAATATGTGTTTTCAAGAAATCTTAGATTGATTAGAACAATGAACTTTTGATCCATTTGGAGAATTGGAGAACTTTTAAAAGTTCAAGATTAAAACTTGGAGTTTTTAACTCTTCTAAAAGTTCAAGATTAAAACTTGGAGTTTTTAACCTTCCACTCCTGTTAAAATTGTTCTCCCTTCTTCTTCTAAGTTATATGCTTTAGGGCTTTTACATGCAAATGGATGGTTGTGTTACAACATGGGCATCCCATAATACCACTTTTAAGTTTTGATCACGTGCAGTATGTGTCATTTGTTAGTATTTGATAAATGGGTACACCTTTCTAAAAAATTCTTTACAAAAAAAGAAAGTCAAAGTGATTGAATCTTCGGTGCAAGGACTTCAATGACTGATCTTGAATCAGTTGCTACAAGTATTCTCCAAATCTTTGAGAAATGAAGAAAATTTGGATTGATTTTCGATTGAGGGTTGTGAAAGCTTGATCTCAACCAATTGGTTGAAGGCTTGAAGAGGATCGACACTTGTAAAACATGCTTGCGATTCTTTGTTTCAAAGCTTCAAAGATGGGATGTTCTCAAAGCTTGAAGTGTTGGATGAGTGTAAAATCCAGCATAATTTCAATGTTCATTCTCAAGTTTTCCTTAATTCTCCCCCTTCACTGCTCTATATATAAACTCCATCAAGGGACAAAACGGTAACTTTAGTCACTTTTGATAATTATTTCCAAATATATATATATATATATATGTATATTAAGAATAATTATTATTTTATTTAACTAATCACATTTTCAAATGGGCCTGGCTAGCTAGTTAAACAAATTGGCCCAGTAACAATTTTGGTTGTCCATGACCTGTAATTTGTAGTGGGTTTAGGTTGTCCAACTTACTGGCCCATGTTATAATGTGGGCTAAATTGGTGATAAGCCCAAATTGTACCTTGAAGGCTTGAGCCCACCATGTAATTTTTTTTAGTTTCCTCTTTTACAAATTGCCCCAATTGATGAAGTCTCGGATATACACCTGTAACTTGTCGAAAATATTTTACATCCAAACGGAGCCCTATAATTCTCTAAACATTATTCCCTCTCCTCCAAGGTTTCCCTTTCCTCTCCCACGTCATCTTTCTCGCCTGCCAAACAGAACATAAAAGGTTTTTTTTGAGCTATTAAAAAGCAATAAGATACGTCACAGAGGAGTCTTGTGCGTCCCTCCAGTACCATATTTGATGCAAGGCTTTTTGTTTTCTATCATAAATTCGTAATATCAAAAAGCGCACAGCGAGTGAGACTTCGAAAGTTCAATTATGGTATATTACCCATTGTATCCGTAATTTTGAACTAAATTTTTCCTAGGGCTTTTGGAAATCAATTCTCGACTTCTGATTTTGCAGGAGGAATCGAAAGAAGAATTCGAACCGCTTTTTGATTACAGTCGAGTTCAGCCTCTCGACGTCGTATGTCTAGACGGTTAGTTTATTCAGCTCCCATCTCTTTCTCTCTCTTTCTCTCTCTCTATCCATATGTACATGTTCTGTTTATGAATGATTTAGCTTTGATTTTCCTTTTTAAATTTTTTCAGACGATTGTTCAGACTCGTCCCCAGCTTTCTTCCCCAAAAGGAGGAAGATTTCCGATTCTGCAGTATGATCGGCTTATTTTCATTCTACTAAATTAAGTTGTGGTTGTTTATTGGAATGTGGTTTCTTTCTGTGTTTGATTTTGTGGTTGTTACTAATTAGGTTGAGAAGGGAAAAGGGAATAATGGGGATGTCATAGAGATCATTGACAGTGAAAAAAAGGAGGATGAGGAGGAGGATTGGTTGCCTCCTCCTCCCAAGGTTTCTAGTGACAGACAAAAGCTTGTTGAGGATAGCACCATAAAGGAGTTGAGGTATACCCCTCTCTCTCTATCTCTGCACTATCGTACGGACCCAGAAAATTATTTGAGGCGGGGGTGGCCTTAAATAAAAAGAAAATTTTTTTCCAAGCTTATCATAATGAGTAAAAGAATTTTAACATTCATTGATAATTTTATTGAGTATTATATTCAATGTCAATGTTGCAAGCAAATAAAGTACCGAATGCACCTAGTAAATTTTTTGTTTCTATTATCTTTTTCTTTTCTTTTTTTTTTTTGTTTCCTCCCCCCTGTAAGATCACAATTCCTTTTAATCTTTCAAACTTGGTTTTAGTCTTAAATTGATCATCAAGTGATCATGATAGTAACTGAAGAAAATTCTTTTGAATAAAATGAGCAATAACCCCAAGGCCAAGGGGTTTAGCTCAAGTGGGTAAGAACTTGGCCGGTGCCTCATGAAGCATCAGGTCTAAGGTTCGATTCCTCTTGGGTGCAAACAATTCATTTGGGGGTGGGGGGTGGGGGTGGGTTTTGAGTATCAACTAGGAAAAAAAATAAAATGAGCAACACAAATTAGCTTTTGTTTTTCAAAAGTAGGGAATGAATCATCCAGAAACAAGTATGTCATACAAAGCAACAACTAAATATTTGCTTCAATAAAACGACTATATAGCCCTTACAGTTTCATATCTGCAGTGGAATAACACAATTCAACATGATAATAGAAAGAGTGATTAGGTTAGAGCCAAAATATTTAGTGGGGGCATATTTTATAGTTGATATTTTCATAATTTGAGTGGGGGCATATTAAATTTTTTTTTTTATAATTATAATGGGGACGAATTTGAAATCTTACAAAATATATGGGGTATGATAGAACTAAGAAAAAAATTCTTCTTGCATACGTGCCTGGTCACACACATTTGTCCACTTTGGGACTGAAGCCCTCAACCATCCATTTGGAAGGAGGAGATACCACTTGGGCAGTGGGACTCTCTATAGGAATTACAAGTGTATTCTTCTTTTTGTTTCACCTTGGTTTTAAGGGTTTAGTTGTTAATGTATACCATTTCAATCTTTCTGTCAAACAACTGGTATTTCTACATTATACTGCTACAATGTGAATGTTTCGATGTGCAGTTAATTTCTTGAAAATAATGATTTTTCTAAGATACGTCACATGCGTGGAACTCAATATTGTACTCCTTATCTTCCAGTTCAGAGTCACTGTAGAAATGACTTCACAAAAGAAAGAAAAAATGTCTCACACTATTTGGAGATTGAAATTCCAATTTTTTTTTTTTTTTTTTTTCCATAGCATAGAAGGAACGCAAAGAACATTAGATAAAGAGAAGGAAGTGGATGGAGAGGAGAGAAGAGTCACTGTAGAAATGACAAGGAATAGACAGACTGCAAGGAAATTAATGTTTTCATAACATTGGAAGAGCTGGAGAAATTATATGGGATGGCAGTAATACAAGAACATAGTAGATGTAAAGGGGGAGTGGCAAGAAGAAGATTCTAGGATTTGATAAATCCCAGGAACTTCTATCTTTATCCATTTCAAGAGTAGAATAACAAAAGGCTGCTCATACACTGTTCAGGCAGCTTGTATAAGGAAGGAAGGAGACCATTGTTTCTCTAATACTCTCTCTGTCTCAAATTAACGTCTTCTTGAATAAATTCAAACTTTAAAACTACATTGAGACTTTGCTTTTGACCAAAGTCTTTCTGAAGTTATTCTTGTAAAAGTAGGGAAAAGTATCAAGGTTTAAGAAAACTATAAATACTTTATGTTGTGAAAGATGGTTAGGATGGGAAGTGAAAAATTGATGTTTTGACTATTTCATAGTGAAACATATTTTGGGACACTAAAATGGGAAGCAAGACATTCAAATAGACATCGCTATCACTGAGTAAGTACATGATTAACATGCGAAGAGTGGTTAAAAGGGCACATGTCCTACAAACGGCATCAAAAATAGAAATTGGAGCCCGAGTAGCAATTTTGAACTAACACAAGGATAATTACAAAAGATCATATTTGACTATTGACATTGCCTTATATTCTTATGCACTTGGAAATGCTCTTCATGTCGTTAGCTTGTGGATAGGTATAAGAAATTGGTGGGATGAAATTTCAAAAATACTCACCTCCTAGTGGGAAAAGGTAATCAACATGAAAATGTTCAACAAGGAAATGTGTTTGTAACTCTACAAATAGGTACCTAGGTAATGGGTTGAGACTTGTGAGAGTGAGATATGTAGTTACATGAGGGAGTTGATGGTCAGTAGAGTAGGAAAAATACCGGCGGCACGGTCCCACGGGTAGTGAGGAGACAAACTCGTGGAGTGTACATGGTGAAAAAGTATGCACTCGGTGTTGGTACTCTACTGTTGTAATATCTCTACGAATCGTAGTGGAATCCCTTCACATCTGTGGATGTAAACTGGTTTTGGTCAAACCATGTTATATCTTGTGTTTGTGTGTTATTGCTTTGTTGGCTTTCATTGGATCTCAATGTTTATGTGCTTCTGCTCCCCCCCAACAAATTGGTATTAGAGCCGAAGGTGAAGAAGATTTAGAAAACACAAGGAGTCTCAACGAGTGGTGCAATAGGTTTCAGTTGCAGGCTATGTTATATGGACTCTTCAAAAGTAGTGAAGTACTCGTGTCAGACATGTTTTGCTTGGACATGGGTATGAGATATGTGTCCAATACTTTTAGTTGGACATGTACTTAAAAAGCATATCCAGTCATTCAATTATATTATATTATTACGTTAAAATGAGTTAAATGTCTATATTGAACATTATATTAGATAAAAATATTACTTTACTCTAGAAAATAAAATAAAATAAAATAATTAATAAAATGAATATTTAGCCATGTTCGTGTGTCCATCTGTTTAGAGATTTGACATGTCCGACGCATGGATGCATACCCGTGTTCGACACACGTAACCGAGTCTGTGTAACATAGGTTGCAAGTAGAGTCATTCGGCTTGTTTGGTCGTTGTTAGAATGTTATATATATATATATATGTTGGGCCATTATGTAATTACATTATATTAGTAGGCCCTTGTGTTATTAAGGAGGCTTGTATCCCTTATATAAGCCTATATAGGCTTATTTAGTAGTGTGTCAGTGAAATATATATACATTTGTTCTCTCTGTTCTCTCTATCTCTCATGATAAACAACATGGTATCAGAGTGGGTTGTAGTTGTGATTGCATCTGGGTTGGGTTGTTCTTCTACAAATGAAAATCAAGATCGAAGCCAACTCTGTTCTTCGCTGAAGATTTGGTCGTCGTTCTCAGATCTGACTCGCTGAAGATTTGTTCGTCGTTCTCAAATCTAACGCCTTTCGTTTTGCTGGTCGAGGCTTCCTTGGCTGTCGCAAGTTGCAGAAGCTCCATCATCGTGATCCCTCTCCGTTCCGTTGTTAGATCGCTGTTTTTTTTGTTGTTGTTGGGTTGTCGTCACCGCTGCAGGGGCTAGGGTGTGTACTAGCCTTGTTTTTCCATTGCGAATCTCGGGTGCTGGAATTTCTTGTCAGTGGCAGAGTTCTGGTTCTCGCCGGCGTTGATTGTGAAGGAGAAGGGTGGTGTTTGGCTGCAGGAGTGAGGCTATTCCAACCCTGGTTTACTAAACCTGGGATAGTTATTCCAACCCTGGTTTCGTAAACCCGGGATAGCCCAGATTCGGCCCGTTTGACCAGATCCGATCCGAGGCCCGATCCGTTTGTCCAGATCCGACCCGTTATCCGGATCCAACCCGCTCGTCCAGATCCGACCTGTTCTCGGATCCGACCCGTTTGCCCAAGTTCGGCCCGAATACCAATTCTGCTTCATATTTTCTTCTCTGTTTTGCTGGGTAAGACATGGCCTCCACTTCAGATTTGTTTTCTCCCACTTCTGGTCTTCATTCTTCCATGACTTCTGTTAAACTCAATGGGAAGAACTATATACTGTGGGCTAAATCAGTTAAAATTTTTCTCAAAGGTAGAGGCCTTGGTAATCATCTGACTAAAGAGAAACTCAAGAAACTGATGCTTCTTTTGATGCATGGGAAAAGGAAGATGCTCGGATCATTTCTGTGATGATAAACAGTATTGAACCCCAAATTAGTACAACTTTACTTTATTTGGATACTGCAAAGGAGATATGGGACAGATTGCAGCAACTGTATTCTGGGACAGGTAATATCACTCGTGTTTATGAGCTTTGTAAGCAGTATCTTCATCTTAAACAAGGTAGTCACAGTATAGAAGAGTATTATTCCAAAGTTATAGGCATTTGTGAGGAGCTGAATATGTATCAGCCCATTACTGCTGATGTTCGCAGTATGCAACAACAACGTGAGGACTTTAATGTTGTTCGTTTTCTTACTGGTTTGTCCTCAGTTTATGAGTCTTTTCGTTCACAGATTATGGGCAGTCCCACACTTCCATCTCTTGCTGATGTGTTTTCTAGACTTCAGCGCGCTACACTTGTCAGTGATACCTCCACTTTGAATACTGGGCAGAGTGGTGAGCGTTCAGCATTGATTGTTTCAAAGGGTGAAAATACTGTTTTCCGTGGAGGTCGTGGGGGACGCTCCACGCGTGGCGGTCGTGATTCACGGGGAGGACGTGGCCGTGGCGGGGAATCACGAAAATGTACTCATTGTGGTCTTTCTAATCATACTGTGAATTTTTGTTGGGACCTTCATAGCAAACCATCTAGTTATGCAAATCAAGTTTCCTCCTCTCCGAATGATGTTGCTTCTGGATCTCATAATGTAGCTGAATCAGATACGGTCCCTGTCTCACGTGATGAGTATACTCAGTTTTTGTCTTATAAGCAAGCATCTAATTCATCTTCCACGGCTACCTTTGCCCAGTCAGGTACTGCACCCACATGTCTATTATCTTCCACTCGCAGTCCTTGGATCATAGACACTGGAGCATCCGATCATATGACTGGATGTTCTTCTCTTCTATCTGATTTTAATTCTATACCTCCTTCTCAAAGAGTTACCCTTGCTAAC